GATCAGTTAAAGGGAACCAAAAAACAAAAAAAAACAAAAAAAAAAAACAAAAAAAAAAAAGTGTGAGATTCTGCAGATTGTAAGTTGTAACGCTATATATGCATCAACCAATTAGGTCGGTAGGTAGAAGAGTACAGATTAGGCAGTTGACTACTCTAATATTTCAGTGGGTCCCGTCTAAATGAGCTCAATTAACGGAAGTAATTAATGGGATCAGATCTATGATACAACATTTAGCTAGCTATATAGGGAGAGAATATTATTTGAGACATGAAAGTGGGGCAATGAGAAAATTCCATATAATCAGTAGGAGATTAAAGGGACAAAAAAGTGGGAAATTTCTACAGTGAGGGAATCACAACATACATAATTCTGGTTATTTATTGTAATTGTGTAGTGTGTATGATTTAAATTAGACAATGGATTAGGTAGGATATAATAAAGAGAAAATTCTTTGAACAACCCTGTTACACGTCACTAAATTGTTCTTAATTTCTTGCTTGTTAGTTGTGATCTCTCTAATATTAATTTTTCGTGTTATCTAAATAAACGAATCTGCTCATATAATAAATTCTAACCAATAATTAAATTCTAATAATCAAATAACATGTTGAATTTAATTAGAGAAACGATTGGTGAGACATGGACATGATACCATGGAGATAGGAGAAGGAAAATGGACCTAAAAGCGCCCAAATTCCAGTGAAGCTAGCAAAATAGATTATGAAGCAAAGCAAGAGAGCATCTTCTGATCTTTACTGACAGCCCCATGTCCAAATCTTAAATGAATTTTAAGCTTAGTTTGGTAGTACTATAGATTTTAAAAAAATTACTTTTAACTATACTGAAGGAAGAAGCAGCTGTTACAAAAAGCAGCTGAGTGTTTGGTAAACTATAATTATAATAGCCGTGTTGGTTCCAAAATAAGTGTAATGACGTTTAGTAAATTATGAAATTGAATTGTTGTGGATAATTAAAATTACGATATGTTATAATTACAATATAATATATATTTAGTATTATATTTAATATAATACAAAAAATTATTATTATATAATATATTATATAATTATGATATAGAATATAATAATATTATTAAAATGGTTAATATAATTACAATATTATAATATTACATAATAAATATTAATATTTCAATTATAATAAAATTAAAAATTACAACTATATTATATTATATTATATAATTATTATTATATTATATTAAACAAATATATTATAATTAATATATTATATAACCATAATGTTGTGTAATACACTATAATAAATAATAATATTAGAATTATAAGATTATATTAATATTTAATTATTATTATAATAAATATAATTATATCAATACAATATAATATATAATATATTATAAAATAATAATTACAATATCATATTATAATTATAATATCATATTATTAAAATAATTATAATATTATTATAATATCATATTATATGATAAAACAATAATATTAGAGTTATTAATATAATTCTGATATTATTTGTTATAATAGAATTATTATATTATATTATATTACAAGTTTGAATTTTAGGTTGGGAAGATTGTAAGATTTAAATTTTATTAGGAGTATTATAGGTATTATGAAAGTTTCATTAATTGTACTATGTTGATTCCCGCACAATCTAAAAGTTAAAGTTGTCTTTAGACTGCTTCTGATTTTAGCTGTAGATTCTTAAAAAAATTTTCAATATGCACTTTTAAGGAGATTTATCAAACAATAAAATTAACTTCTGTTACAAATAAAATGTGATTTTAAGAGAAAAAAATAATACCAAACTAAGCCGCAGTGACTTTTTACAAGATGAGACACTCTAGATTTGGTTCATTGAATATCCACACTTGGTGTCACGTGAGTACTTGATTTTTGGTGCACTTTAACAAATGCCAAATATTGCCTTCCCCTCTTAACCCTTTTATCTTCCTCACATGCCCAACATATCAAGGGTCTTCCAGCGACTTATAATAATCAATACCAATACTTATCAACAATATTTTTTCTCTTGTAGACTTTTAACAACATAGGTACAGATTTTTTGTTTTGGGGTACGTTTTTATTTTCCTCTTTTCCTTTTTTTTTTTTTTTTTTTTCTAAGTCATCTTAGTCTCGAAAATGTACCACATGAACAAGAAGATGCTCTTTCTGCTGCTGCAGGAATAACATGTGGATTCATGTGCTGTAATTCTCATGGACATGGGTGCCATGTTATTAAGGTTTTGGATAAGCAGTTTAAAAACAACAGAAAAACAGAGTCAACAGTATTCTAGAATTGCAACGCCCTTCTCTATATTACAAAGCCTATATTGGAATTTGGTAACGTGGTTGTCCAATAATTGAATTTTTTATTTAATTTTATTTTTCTCAGCTTTCCCATGCGGCATCTGAGTTTTCTCTACAAAGAAAAACTTATGGCTCGTTTAGTTCGCTGATTCAAATTGAGATGTGACTTTATGTGATAATTTTTTACTGTAATAAAAAAGTTAAATATGACTGTTTATGAGAATTTTTTACTATAATAAAACTTGAATTCTAAACTCGAATTAGTGAAATGAATGAGACCTTATACTTAACACGTAACCAAAATTATTCAACTTTGAATCATTGACCCATTTTCTAAAAAAAAAAAAGTGATATATTTTTTAGAGTTTTTCTACAAGTCCAGAAAAAATAAATTACTGCAGTGTCTTATTTTCAATTATTAGATTTATATCACAAATTATTTATATTATGCATATTTATTTAATTTTGATGTGATTTTAACTAAATTTAACGGTTAAAATAAAAAAATTACTGATTGTTCATTTTTGTAAGCACTAGAGAAGCACCTCCTTTATGAAAACCTATTGAATTATAACAATTAAACCGAATTAAACTAGTCACAAATGTGAGCTTAGAATTTTTTTTATTTTTTTCTTTATTTCCAAAAAAGAAGAAACAGGTACACAAGACGTATAAAGAAACATACACTAGGAATTAGAGTTTGCACTAAAAAGTTGTTTCTTCCATTACAAGTTTTCAGAGAGTTATTCATTGGGACGCTCATAAAGCTTCTTGGGAGCGGGGGTGTAGTTAGAATTTAGAAATAGGAGCTTATTTTGAAGCTGCATTTATTGTCGCGGAGTTCATTGACCAGATTTTGCCTCGCAAGGAATATGATATCGTAATAATAATCTCTGCTATTTATTGATCGAGCTGGCCGGTAGGTCAAAAAACCTCTCATTTTCATAAACCAAAAAACCTCTCATTTTCATAAACCAAAAAACCTCTCATTTTCATAAACCAAAAAACCTTCATGTGGGTTTTTCCTTGTTTAAATCTCGGTAGTTATATTCACTTTTGTTTTATTTTAATTTTTATTGGTGAATCCAATCATAAATTCGAGATCGAATTACTTTGTATTTAAAATCATCTGTGCCTTATATAATTTGTTTATTGTGAAATGAAATTTCCTATTTCAAAAAAAAAGGCATGCCTAAAAAAAAGGTATGCTCTCTATTCAATACCTATTCTAATTTTCAGTATTTTATATTAATCTATGTGGTATAAAGTAATTATTCTTCACTAATAAATTATAGTCGGTATCTCTAACATTATTAATAAAAAAATATGAAAAACTACGTGCAAAACAGAATCTAAATAATAAAGCTCTATGAATAGAATATTATTTTACTTACCCTAAAATAAAAACAAAAAAAGAACTCCTATATTTTTTCTGTCATAATAATAATAATAATAGAGATTCTCTGATACGCATGACATATCGGTAAGTCATGGTTTTTTAACCATGAGATCTGCGTACTTTTTAACTTTTATGTGATTTTATGCAGATCTGAAAGACAGAAAACTTATGGCTCGTTCCTTTTACCGATTTGAGTTTTCAGTTTTAGGGTTCTACAGTAAAAAGCTATCAGAAAATATCACATCTAACTTTTTCTGCTACAGTGAAAAGCTCTCAAAAAATGTCACATCTCAGCTCGAATTGAAAACTCGAATCCGCGAAGTGAACGAAGCCTTAGTACACTGATATATTGACGTATCAGAAAAAGTCATAATAATAGGCATGGCTATATGTGTAATTTCAGAGTCCGGAGCAAAAAATACATTGATATATCTATATTTTTTAAGGAATTGATACATCTATTGTTTGGCGTAAGCTCATAATGTAACTAGACCGTGTTCAAAATCAACAAATTCAATGATAATTTGATTAAACAAGCTCTCCGGGCAATTTTTTTATCTGTTACAAAATTCTCATTTTATGTAGTGTCATATTTTATTTATTTATTTTATCTCGTTGCAAATCTATAATAATATAAGGTGTGCATTTTCTATCAGATAATACAATACAAAAGATATAAAGAAAATGTAGAACCTCAAGGTGAACATGGTCGATGTTTTATCTCAATTAATCATGGGAGTTGCCTTTTATTTATAATAAATATCCCTATTTTCACTTCTAGCAAAAAAAAAAAAAAAAAAAAAAAAACTATTTTCACTTCAGTTTCTTTTTCTCAATTTTTCTTTATAATTTGTTTTCTAATAAATGGCTACTTCCTTCCGAGGACTTTGTAAAAATCAAGTGATCATTCTTTATAAAAAATAAAAAAAGTCATTTTGTCAATTTCACTAATAATCATTCTAACATATTTCTCCTTCCTTTCCTTATATTTACTTTTTACAATTTTTTTTTCTAATAAATGGTATGGTAGTTGCCTTTTCTTTTTCATTTCTTTTATTTTTCTTTTTCTTAAATCTTTCTGAAAGTATTTTTCTCAACCAATAATGCATGGTCTACTCCACAAACAGTACAGTCCAAGCGTGTCCAACGAGTCCCACTTATTCTTCAAGCAAAAATAAATAAATAAATAAAATATAATAATAATGACGATATCAAAATAAAATAAAAAGAAAAAGAAAAAGAAAGCACAACATTTAAAAACCCCCCAAAACCCAACTCCCACAAAAGGCCCTTCATTACTAACTGACAATTGACACCGCAATTACCTCTGCCTTCAAATTCTTTCCCTCGCCGGAAAACCACCATAACCACCAAGCTTCTCCAACAAATGCTCCACCATTGAAACTCTCACGGCCGACAATCCAGACCCGAAATTTTCAACAATGTCCAACTCCAGAAGATCCTCTCTCTCCGGCTTCGCCTCGCCCCAACCCGCCGGGTCGACTCAGGACCTCAAGCACCGAGTCATCAACTGCCTCAACAAGCTCTCAGACCGAGACACCCTCGCTCTCGCCACCGCCGAGCTCGACTATATCGCCAGAACCCTCCCTCACGACTCCTTCTCGCCGTTCCTTAACTGGATTCACAACACCGACAACTCTTCCAAGACGCCGGTGCGGAAGCAATGCGTCAACCTCCTAACCCTACTCTCCAACTCCCACGGCGACGCGCTCTCTCCTTTTCTCTCGAAGATGATCTCCACTGTCGTCCGCCGCCTCCGCGACCCCGACTCTGCCGTGCGATCCGCCTGCGTCGACGCCGTCGCAGCCATGGCCTCGCGGATCACCCGCCCGCCTTTCTCGGCCTCGTTCCTGAAGCCGCTGGTGGAGACGATGTCGGTCGAGCAGGACGCCAACTCGCAGATCGGCTCCGCGCTGTGCCTCGCGGCGGCGATCGAGGCGGCGCCGGACGCTGACGCCGCACAGCTGCGGCGGAGCCTGCCGAGGCTGGGGAAGTTGGCGAAGAGCGATGGTTTCAAGGCCAAGGCAGCGCTGCTGGTTCTCATTGGAAGCGTCGTCGGCGCCGGAGGCGCGTCGAGCCGGGGAGTTCTGGACTGGCTGGTCCCGAGCGTAGTGGAGTTCTTGAGCTGCAACGATTGGGCAGTGAGGAAGGCCGCCGCGGAGGCGTTGGCGAGAGTAGCTACGGCGGAGAGGGATTTGGCTGCTCAATACAAGGATTTATGTTTAAATGCTTTGGAAAGTCGGAGATTTGACAAGGTATGATAATGTTAATATCTTGATTAGAAAAGTTCGTACTTTTCTTCAATGGTATGAATAAAACAGTTCGAATTTTGTTTTTTGTTTTCTAATATTTTAGTGCCTTATTTTGTTTTTTGTTTTCAATGGTATGGCGTGTTAAACAGGTGAAAGTTTTTTTTTTTTTTTTTTTGTTAAACAGGTGAAATTTTTTTTTTTTTTTTTTTTTTTTGATAATTTGTTAAACAGGTGAAAGTTGTTCGTGAGACTATGAATCATACATTAGAGTTATGGAAGGGGGTCTGTAATGGAGCTTCTGAAGAAATCCCTGTTCCAACTCAATCCAGATCTTCTTCAACTTCAACAGGTAAAGCTTTTGTTTCATTTTTCCAAAATCTATTCTTGCTTTAGAATGGTCAAAATGTAGCAATAATTCATAAGCTCATTTAAGCTCATTACTCTTGCAAAATGTTTTGTCAAACTGTTTGAACGAAGATTTTTTCTTTCTTTTTTTGTTTTTCGATTGTGAAATGTATTTGGCACGTTTGAGTAAGCTATTGATTTTTTCTGTTTTTTGTTGTTCCTTTTGGTCCAATGGGTGGGATTAGATAATGGGATTAGTCGCTGTTTTCCTCCGCTGTCCAAAAGTACACAAGATGGGGGCTTTAAGACTCCTCAACCAAAGAAAACAGCGCCCACAAACCGGTCCCCTCCATCTGGTCCTGATGGCTCATTTGCGAACAGCGTCAAAAAAGGAAGTCCCCTAAAGAGTAATGACCGAAATTCAACCAAGGTGGACCATTCGAAGAAACCATTTGGTTGGAAAATTGAAATTGCTGTCCCAAGCGCTCCTTCCTCAGAGATGGTCCGTGAGGATAACAATGTCGGGAGGAATGACTTTGCAGTTTCGGATTGTAGAGAGAACAAGCAGTGTGGAAATCCCCAGCCGGAAACAAAGCATGTCGTCTTCAGCAAGACCCGCGAAGAAAAACTGCACAAATTCGGTGGTTTGAGATCAGGGTCTCGTGTTGTTCCTTTTGATGAGGATGAAAAGCATGGTTGTTCGGAAGTCGTAGACAGCAATGCGGCTGAAGAAGTTTATGATAACCCAAAGGATGCTGAGGATCTTTCTTTGATCCGTGAACAACTACTTCAGATTGAGAACCAGCAATCCAGTCTTTTAGACCTTCTTCAGGTGTGTACTGCAGACCTTTTTCTTTGTCCAATAGAGTTTTATTTCTTAGTTGCGTCATAATTGTATATAAGCTAAAAAATTGACACAAGACAAATGTTAGTATGTTACAACTTCATCAAATTTAGTTAGCCTAGAGATGGTGTTTAATGATAATCAATTAGAGAGATTTTAAAACATCCTCTCTACTGATTGCCTTCTTGTTTTGATGAAACCCAGAGATTTATTGGGAGCTCCCAGAGTGGATTGAATTCACTCGAAACGCGGGTAAATGGACTAGAGATCGCTCTGGAGGAAATATCATACAATATGGCGGTATCAAGTAGAAGAATTCCGACCACCGACTCTGCAGAAAACACATGCTGCATGCTGCCCGGTGCAGACTTCTTGAGCTCCAAGTTCTGGCGCAGAGCTGAAGGCCGGTATTCTTCTCCAAGGTTCCCTTCTTCTGGGATGATGTCCTCACCCAATAAGGACGCTAGTGCAGAATTTTGTAAGTCGGACAGCCGCAGATCTCAGCACCAAAACGCCTTGGCTGACATTCAGAGCAATTCAAGAGGCCTTTCAAACAGAATGCCAAAGACTACAATTCAAGATTCTGAGAGTGTACTAGATCGCAAGGCCAATGGGTTTAATGGGCAATGACCAGTTACTTGTATAGGGCCGGTTCACCTCACAGCAGGTAAATTGGGAATCTCATTTTCTCACTATTTCTTTATTTATTTTTTATTTTTTTACCATTTGTAGTTTTGCTCTGTTTGTCTTTTGTGGATTTATCTGAGCTGGTTTTCTGTTCATGTGGGACTGTGGCATTGAAAGAGGTTACAATTTTCGTACCTGGAATTTTAAATGCTACTCATGCTTGTAGTGAGTTTTTTCTTTGAAAATACACTCTTGAATATTGTAGTCCGGTTCATCTGAAGAAGTAACCATATATTTGGTAAGAATCGTACTAGGGTTAAAGTGAACAGCTATTCCTTATAATTTTGTATTAATGCTATTGGACCAACTTTACATACAACTGAGTTGGTAACTGCTATAAGTAGATATGTTAAAAAGTCCTCATACCATTCCCATAATCCCATTCCCTATCGTTTGTAGACAATAACATTTTCTTAGTACTATAGCTGCTGGCTGAATTGTAAATTGCTTGAATCTGTTTTTTTTTTTTAATCAATAATATAAATTGTTCTCCTTTGCATTTCAGATCCTTTGCTTACTTGGAATGAAATGTTCAGAAGGCTCCAACGATCAGTTTCCACTGAGAGCGAACGCAACGAGTAATTGAAGAACTGATGACATGAACGTGAATTTTGTTTGCTGAATGGCGGTGCACAAGTTCGCGATTGAATTGCCGAGCCAACATTTTTTATTCATGTGGCCCATGATGCTCCGGAACACAAGGATGTTCTGTCTCGCATTTCTTTGATTTTGTTGCAGCATTCAGTTTAAACGCAACAAGGGAAGCAAGACTCGTGCACAATTCTTGTTGTATTTATATGTACAATCGTCAGTAGACGAGAATTTCTGTACATATTGAAGCTTTCCCACCATCCTTTTTCGCTTGTCATTCCTTGCTATAGATTGTAAATTTTATTCCAAGTGAGTTGCAATCTGGTTAATCAATTATCAAAGTATAAAAAGGTTCCATATTTTTTTTCCCCCCCTCCGGTTAATTGGACAATGAGCATGCTACATCGTGCATTGAGAAATGTAATTTTGGTATCATCTTTTTTGTTACAATGATCCCTAGCTTAATCAAATAAGGTTAATCATGAAAATTAAATTTAACCCAACTATGGAATCTATTTTAGTTTTATTATTTTCCCCATAGGGGGAAAAAAATGAGACGATATAGTGCATTGGTAGGTAGAAAATATTCGGTCTGACATGTGAATTCTTCAGATTACGTCTGCAAATCAATTGTTTGACGTGCTTCAGAGAAAAAATGATAAAAATAAGAAGCAGAAGAATATTCGTTTGAGCAAGAATATGATTCACGAGCATGGAGCAGTTCAAGAGGAGGGTGAAAGAAATAAATAAAAGAAGGCATTGGATGGGATGATAACAATGGTTCGATGCATTTCCATTGTCCTAAAAGAAATAGAAAATTACCTCGCGAAGTTACAGAGATCATTATCCCTCATATACAGTGGCGGAGAGACACTGGAGCACCCCCCAAATATGTGTGTATATATATTTATATATTTCTAAAGATTCTAAATTGTAATATTAACATAAATACTTAAAATATTTTCAGTTAAAGTGAAGATATTAAAAAAAAAGGGACAGAGTTTAAGGGAAACAAAATAAGAATGACGAATTTGAATTTAAAACTCCAATTCCTTTCATAATAATAATAATAATAACAACAGCTATTGTACTCCCCCCACGAATTATTAAAAAAATATTATTTTGTCTTAATTTTACAATAAAAATTATAATTATGACATCTATATAATAATTAAAATGTATATCGTTGTTTATCAATTTAATAAAATTCTCTTTAAATGACTTCTTCGTTTCCACCTAAACTCAAAAAAAGTTTGAACTCAAATTATAATTTTATTCAAGTTCATGTTTTTTTTTTTTTTTTTTTTTTTTTTTTTTTTTTTTTTTTTTTTTAGAATATGAGTTTAAACTTGAGTTTTAACTTGAATTTTAATTTGAGTTTGGGTTAAAATCTGAGTTCAAATTTCCCTTCAACTCAAGTTCCTAAACTCAAACTCAAGTTAATGAACATTATTTTTTCTATTCTTAAAAACGCTATAACTTTTTCATTTTAATTTCGATTAAGATGATTCTTTTTTTATGTATTCACAACGAAAAGACGAATAAAACCACACCCATATACCCTATTAAAATTTTTCATCATCATTGAGTTTTTATTAAAATACTATCTAAATACAAACTGAAGTTTTGACCCACTCAACCACAAACTCAAAAAGATATCATCTCAAACCATAATTCAAATGTACACTACCAAATACAAACTCAAGTTACAACTTCAACTCAAGTTATAACTCAAATTCAACTCAAGATCTACACTCAAGTCATCATAACTCAAAAATATAACTAAACAAGCTCTTAGGAACTTGAGTTGAAGGAAAAACTTACACTCAAATTTTAGCCCCAAACTCTAGTTAAAACACAAATTTTACAAAAAAAAAAAAAAAAAACATGAATTTGAATAAAATTGTAACTTGTGTTCAAACTTTTTTGAGTTTACGTGCAAATAAACAAGTCCTTTAAAGAGAATTTTATTAAATTGATAAACAACTATATACATTTTAATTATTATATAGAAGGCATAATTATAATTTTATTGTAAAATTATTATTATTTTTTACCAAATAAACGAACATATCTAAAATTTTTGAAAGATCTTATGTGTAAAAATTTAAATTTCAAAAATGAGCATATGTGCCCCCTACGCAATTTGATATGGCTATGCCACTAAGAATAGGGTATGGACCATGAACCATTGAATGGTTTAGATTGGAAAGATGCACAAAAAGTATAATATAGTTTGTATATTTTTCTAAATATTAAGGTGAAGTTTGGTTAATGAGTTCAGAATCATAGTTCATGATTCTGATTTTTAAAATTTAAATTTTTTTGTGAGAGAAAAATATTATAACGAACTAAGAATCATGATCCAAAACCAGATAAAAACCCTCGAAACAAATGGAACATAACTTTTGGTGGTCGGCTTTCACCACCGAAAGTTGATGTTTGAAAAAACGCACAAACAATATCAGTACACTAAAGAAAAAAAAAGATTTTCTTTCCAACTTTACGTTCATGAAATGAGATTCATGGAAGCTCTTCCAAATCTTCCTCTTCCTAAATATTGACATGCATTTGAATGAAGCAAAAAATGAGAACCGTAGAGGGCGGCTGATGAGTTGGTTTTATACCGATTTATTAACCTCTTGTAAGTTTAATATTAGCTAATTTTAAGGTATTTTATTGATAAATTAATGTCTTCTTAATCTAATTTTGCAGGATGGGTAAAAGGTTAAGTAATCTGTCATAGAAGCCCACACACGGAAGGCATTACTCCCAACCACTACGGATATGTATGAGTTAAGTAATCTGCCAGCTTAGGTCTAGAAAAGCCCACAATTAAAAGCCAAAGTCTCAACCCACGCTATTGAGAAGCCACAATTAAAAGACCCAATCTCAGACCAATAAAGCCCACACACAGAGGAGATTAATCCCAGCCATACGACATTGTGTTTCACTCCTCAGATTATACATGGGATTTTGGGCTGCCTTGGAGAAGATAAGGGGTTGCGGTCTGTGGAAAGGAAAAAAAACCTTTGTAACTGAGAGTTTGAAGATGGAAGCTCGTGGAAGATCCGGGCTGAGAGAGAGAGATTTCCGCACAGGGAATCAAGATTAAAAGGGAATTCCAGGAACGAGAAACAAGGAGTTTTGGCTGGAATTCGAGAGGGAAACAGGAGGTTTTTACTGGGATATTCCAGGGGGATTTTTGGTTGGATATTCCAGAGAGTTTTGGCTGGATATTCCAGAGGGAGTTCTTGGCCGAGATATTCCAGAGGGAAAAAGAGTGTTTTTGCTAGGATATTACAGAAAGAGAAAAAGGGGAAAAAGGAGATTAACCCAGGGTTTTTGGAAGAGGATTCGGCCAGAGAGTTTTGGAGTTGACCCAGAGGGATTGTTGCCGGAAGTGGCTGATTCCTGGTGGAGAAACAATTTGTAAAGTTCGGCCATTGAGATTTACCCTTCTTTCTTCTTTTTTTCTTCCATGAAGCATATGGTGATGTCTCCTGGATTTGTCTTTGTTTTATTTAATTTAGTTATGGTTTAATATTTTTAGTTAGAGATTGATGGATCCGAACCTATGATTTCTGAGTTTCAATTTGAATGAGTTGCAATTTATTATTTTTCCGTGAAGAGTGTGTTCTATTGTTCTTAGGGCTTTTCATTGATTTAATTTGTGAATTGATCGTAGTGATGTTTCGGATAAATAAGCTATGTGATAGAAAAACATTAAATTGTGAATTAAATCTTGGATGTGAATAATTTCAAGCAAAATATAGAACATGCCATGAGTGGACAGGAAATTTATGTGGTCAGTTTAAGTTGTAACCGAGAGAGAAATTTAACCGAAAAATGATTTCACAAATTCTAAGGCATCTCATATTGAATTAATCTAGAATAGACCTGAAATAAGGATATTTGAAGTTAATGATATATGTGATAGTTGATTAGACCCGAAATATGGATAATTAAACATTAAGGAATTCTACCATCTCATGGTTAATAATAATTGAAATTCATTCTTTTGAGCTTATGGATGAAAAGGTGTAGGTGAAATCAACTCTCTAACATTTCTCTCATTGAATTCTTTCTTAAATCTTACATCTTTACATTTTTTTAATTTTTAATCTTTATTTAGTTTTAATTCACATTACTCCTGATTTTGTAATCTCGAATAATATGGTCGGTTTAATCACTTTATTTATGAATTTAACCAATCCTCGTTGGGAAACGATATCTTACTCATTATTTTATTACTTGAACGATTGGTGTACTTATTAGTGTTAATTTTATCGCATCAGCAGCAGCGGAGGAGCTCCGGGGGGGTAGAGGTCTTGCTCTCATCAACGTTGGCGTTCTTGTGTCATGATGATCTTATAATAAATAGAACTGAAGCTAATACTAATTCGTTTACAGAACGAAAGTCTTTAGTTTATTTATTAAGATATATAATCAAGTATGGTAGTGAGTATATAATTTCTCTAAATTCCTTCCTTACCAAAGGGGAAAAGTAAACGTTTCCAACAATAGACGTCCCTAATTCCTCTGCTTATGAGAGCCCATAAAACAAAAAACCATATGGGCAAGAGAGGAAGGCGCTCACACACCAACAACAATAAGGCCCAAAAGCTTTTGGATGCAAGCTGTAGAAGTCACATAGCACTTAAAGCTGATTTTTCCTCTTCAATATCTTAATAGTAAAAATCAACTATCTCTCTCTCTCATCCACATCTCGGCCGTGTTTAGAATTGATCCTATTTTTATTTTTTATATTTTTTAAGAAATAAAAAATGAAAACGTTTCTAAAACAACGTTTGACACAATAAAGACAAAAAATAAAAATAAAAATGATTTTTTGGTTTAGTGTAAAATGAGAGAGAAATGAAAAATGACTTTTAGTCATTTTTTATTTTTTATTTTCATTTTTTCCTCTCTCGAGCAGAGAGAGAGAGACATTAATGATTTTTTTTATACTGAAAATAATCTTGTGATAAAACTACCAAAAACATTTTTAAAAATAATTCATGTCTGAAATTGAAAACGTTTTCATTTTCATTTTCATACAAAAAATAAAATCATTTTAGAACGAGTTCCAAACGCGCCCCTCATTTTTTTTTTCATCTGAACTTCTCATAAGAAGGTTTACTTGAGATATCCCAAAGGATCCACATATTCAATAGTGGATTATTTTAGAAATGATTGCAATATTTGCGTGTTTGGAATTGTTCTTGTTTTTATTTTTCACGTTTTTCGATAAAGAACAAATAAAAATAATTTCAAAACGGTATTTGGCACAATTAAAGACAAAAAATAAAAATAAAAACGATTTTTTAGTCTAGTGTAAAATGAGAGAGAAATGAAAATTATTTTTCATTTTTTGTTTTCATTTTCTCATATCTCAAGCAGAGAGAGAGAGACATTAATGAATTTTTTATACTGAAAATAATCTTTTAATAAAACTACCAAACACATTTTTAAAAATGATTTATGTCTGAAATTAAAAATATTTTTATTTTTATTTTTATATAAAAAATAAAATTATTTTAAAATGAGCTCCAAACGCACTTATTTGTTTTTCGAACTTAAAAACAGACTTTCTTTCTATGAATTACTGATTTTTGACGCTTCATTAGTGTCAATGGACTAATCTGCTTTTATGCTATTAATACAGACCATTTTTCCGTCATTACACACATGAATGAAAACTACTTGAATAATATGATACTTTTGTCGTGGTACTTGATAATCAAAGAGGGGGTCTATTTAATCACTTTCAAACAAATCAAAAGGGATTTATTAAAAAACAAAGCTCATTTTTTGTTTTGCCTCTTGAGGAGTCAACATTTTCCCTGGTCTTATCAAAGGCAAATCAATTCCTACTACTAGAAACGTATCATTTCTTAATGAGTGTTGCTGAAGTTCCTTTTCTTTAGGAATCTTAATTTTTTCTTTTCTTTTCCTTTTCTTTTTCTTTTTGTTTTTGCTTGTATTAGGGATCTTAATTAGCTTCACTTATGTCACAGTCCTTGATAACTGGATTTTATAGCTCCAGGGCGGTCCCGCCTAAAAATGTAGGTTGTGTGTGAAGTTGTTTTTATATTTGTTTCCGTTTTTTCATTTCTCGAATAAAGAGAGAGACGTTAATAGATTTTTTTATACTGAAAAAAATCTCTTAATAAAATTTTTAAATGCATTTTTAAAAATAATTTTTATCTGAGATTAAAAACGTTTTCATTTCTATTTTCATACAAAAAATAAAATTATTTTAAAACGAATTTCAAACGCACCCTTAAATTTTCTCTTTGTGTGTCAAAGCTTGGCCAGTGGACCATGCAAGGCGCCAAGGCCAGGCTCTAATCTTCTCAAATTCACAATGTTCAGGAAAATTATATATCAACTTTTTTTATTATTATTATTGTTATTGAAAATAAAACAAATTCACATGTTCCCTAAAAATTAACTTGTCAAATTTATACATCAAAGTTTTTTTTGCCGAACAATTAAATCTTTATCAGGTTTAGCATTTTCCTTGCGTGTTAAATCTCAAATTAAAAGATTAAATATTATTATGCTAATTGAAGGTTGGTGGTGTTTTAACGTTTTTATAGGATAGTATCCTTAAAAGTCGTACATGTTTTTAAACACTAAATTAGGTTAATATCACACCAAAATGAAAAAAAAAATACAAAACTAATAATTTTTTATGCAAATTTGATGGTTCAAAGTAAATCCCTATAGATCGGGTACTGTTTTCATACTCTAGTATAAAATTCTTATTTTCAATTAGCTACAATTTGAGGAATTATTTTTAACTATCCTTTAATGTTAAAATTAAAATTAATAATAATATTATTATTATTTTGGTTCCTTGTGCTCTCTCGACACGGAATTGTGACATTTAAACAGATCAATCGGAAGTTAGTGGCATGTCAATGTAATGCTTGCGTTCAATCATTTTGGCTTTTATAATGATCAAGGAAGACTAATTGGTATTAAGAACAAACCACGTCGTTCATCTATATCTTGTGGATCAATATATTCTTCCAGATTAATTATTGTACAAAAATAAAAATAAAAATACTCCTCTTCTTCATATATGCTTAAATAGTAAATTACAGATACCGGACCCAACAAATAAATAATGTCTCCCACACATCTAGTGAAGAATCATCCCGGGAAACTTTCATTGTCTAATTCTCTCTCTCTCTCTTTTTTTTTTTTTTTTAATTCCTATGGGTGATGTTTTAATCTTTGAAGAATCTTTTTAATAAAGGATCAAGAAAACCCTACACCAGCTACCGCCACCCTATTGCGTGTTTTTTTTTTTTTTTTTTTTTTTTTTTAGACTTTGTCAAAATATAATTCTATATTCTTTTCCTACCAAAAAAAAAAAAAAAGGTCTACATTAGACTTTTTTGAACGCACAATACTATTTGGGATAAAATGTCCATAATCTTAATTTGACCCTAAAGAAAATTGTGGTTTTGACACCGGCAAAACTAGGAGCCCAAAATAATTATTTCTATTCTTAATGGGTTCTCTCGTCAGCATACACCATGCGCACACCAGGGAAAGATTACATTCAGTTCGAAATAAATAAGTTGAATTAGACCACAAAAACATCAGAATCAAACTTAAGATTGGTGGCCACAAAAAAAGTTTCATATAGCAATGAACGCAAAAGAGACCTAATTCAGTCTTATCCTACAAGCATCTTTTGGAGAAATTGCACCTCGGGAAGATGAAAAGAGTGAGAATATAAGTGGTGTTATTTTATTTTTTATTTTTTATTTTTTATTTTTTACTTTTTCCTATGGTCGTGGGGAGCACATGGAGATGCAAAACATGTTCTATAGAAATCCTACCCTTAACACATGTGTGCTGATTGGCGCTTTTATATATAGTAAAGATAAAGATATTAGTTCGGAGTAAGGGTTCCAAACATGCATATTTAATTTATTTTGTTGAATTACTTTTGGGTACTTGTGTGTAATTTTTATTTATTTATTTATTTATTTTTTTGAGGTTTGTTTTCCCCTTGAGTTTTGGTAGAAGTAGAGCCATGAAGAAACCGAAATTTTAAAAATTAAAGATGATAAATTTGTTGGCTTTGTAACAAAAACAAAGCTTCTTCAATACGTGCTTTACACGGTATTTCCTATAAAACCCAATCTTGCCTTATTCTTTTTGCCAGCCATTTTTGCTAATGGACAACGACGAGACAACCAATTCAAAGGATTTAGGGTCTTTTCGTTTACACTTAAATTTAAAAAAAAGTTTAAATTTAAGTTATAATTTTATTTAAATTCATGTTTTTTTTTTTTTATAAAATTTGAGTTTTAACTTAAGTTTATGATTAAAATTTGAGTTCAAGTTTCATCTTTAACTCAAATTTCTAAAGTCAAACTCAAGCTCAAGTTAATGAACAATATTTTTTCTATTTTTAAAAACGTTATAACTTTTTCATTTTAATTCCGATTGAAATGATTTTTTTATGCGTTCAAAACGAAAAGACGAATAAAACTCAACTCATATATCCTATTAAAATTTTTCATCATCATTGAGTTTTGACCCACCTAAACACAAACTCAAAAATATTATCATCTCAAATCATAACTCAAATGTACACAACCAAACACAAACTCAAGTTACAACTTAAACTCAAATTATAACTTAAATTTAACTCAAAATCAACACTCAAATCATCATAACTAAAAAATATAACTAACAAGCCCTTAGCTTCTAGCTTTCTTCCCAAGCTGAAGAATAAGCGAGACAATAACTCTCATTTGGATGAAGTTTGTGATTTTCATGAAAAATGGGGAGGAGCAAAAGAAAAGGAAACGTGATTTGGAATGATGAAGTTACATTTCATTGCCGCCCATGCGTTCCATAAATAATAAATATTATTCATGACGACGTAATCAAGTGGTATTGCAATTATTTGTATTTATTATTGAGGATGAGATATTAGTGAAATGTAATGAACACAAGAATTGGCCATGACCGGAAGTTTAATTAATATCTATTGATTTTGATTGACTGGATCCAAATTTTCTCTGCTAGTAAAAAGAATTGCATATATAATGTCCAAATTCAGTCTTCTCCTACTGAACATTCTTCTTATGTTGTTGGGGGAGCCGGAAAAAAGAAAAAAGAAAAGAAAAAAAACAAAGATGGTTCCACTGCCACTCACCTTGCAAAGCGAGAGGCAGTAAAAGTAAAACATGTGTACTTTCCCGGGAAGCTCCAAACACACGAATTAGGTCATCTTTTGTCTTCTTTTCCTCCGAATTTTCTTTCCCATTTGTGTTTTTCCTCTTTCCTCTTTTTTATTTTTTTGGTCACAAAACTCTTACGTATATATCTTTCTCACGCGCTACCAAATCTATCGTTTAGCAACGAAAAATCGAAAGTCCACCGCACACCTCCATCTTTGAAGCAGCTCTTAGGTTGGACTTTAAAAGCCAAAAGCCCAAAACGTAAAAAAAACCACCACCACCGCCACCACAAACCCACCATTCTTTCCTCTTTGACTCCCACTTTCGCGGCCACCAAACTTGTCGGCGACCAACAGATCTGCTATCTGCTCTTTCCCAAAATCCCAAAATCTCTGTTTTTCTTTCTTCATTCATCTTCTTATTGCTCTACACTTAAAACTTCTAAAACTAATCCTCAAACTTTGGCATTTTCCCTTTTTTTGGTTCAACTGTTTAAGCATCAAAATATATGGATTCCGAGCAACGGCGGAAGCGAAAGCGCTTGGGCAAGATTTACTGTTCTAAGGCACAGTCCTTCTCGTTAAGATCTCTAATCCTCTGCCTCTCCTTCTTCGTCTTTCTCCTCTTCTTATCCTCCGATCGGGTCCCCATAAATCCGGCGTCGTTTCGGCCCGTCATCAGCACGGCCCCGACCTTCTTCCTCCTCCAGTCCAGCAACTCGATTCTCGATCCCCTCACCGGCAGGCGCCAAACGACGTCGTCTTCTTCCCCGGCCCGAGTGGTGGGTCGGGTGCTTTTCCCCGACCAAGTCCTCCTCCTCGTCGTCGCCAACACCATCCGCCCCGCCCAGGCCGACCGCCTCGACTGCGTCTACCTCGACGACAATGGCTCGAATTTCGCCTCCCGGCCGGTCCTCTCAATGGACGGCTACGATAAGTTCAGGTCGATCGTTCGGTGCCCGCTTCCGCCGGCGAATTTCTCCTCCGTCGGGTGCTTTTCCCCGACCAAGTCCTCCTCCTCGTCGTCGCCAACACCATCCGCCCCGCCCAGGCCGACCGCCTCGACTGCGTCTACCTCGACGACAATGGCTCGAATTTCGCCTCCCGGCCGGTCCTCTCAATGGACGGCTACGATAAGTTCAGGTCGATCGTTCGGTGCCCGCTTCCGCCGGCGAATTTCTCCCCCGCCGCCGTGGACTTGCGGTGGCGGGGAGAGTACTGGCAGCCGTCACGGGCCCCGGTCAATCAGACGGTGAATTCGTGGGACAAGCTGGTTTATGAGGCGGCCATTGATGGGGGCACAATGGTTGTTTTCGTTAAAGGATTGAACCTCAGACACCACAGGAAATCGGATCCGTCTCAGTTCAGCTGTCATTTTGGGTTGAGGAATTGGGATAAGGAAGAAGGGTTTGTTCTCACCACTCCAGCCATTACTGCTGCTCAGGAGGTCATCAGGTGTGTTTTGCCTAGGAGTATCCAAATCATCCCACATAAGGCTCATGGAATCCGGGTTACCATTGGTCACTCGGTTGGTGCTAATTCTCCCATTCTTTTCCCTTCGGTCGCCAGAATTTACAGCTCCAAACCCCGTGAGCTGAAAGTGAAAAACAATCGGAACAAGAAGAAACATGAGCTTTGTGTGTGTACTATGGTGTGGAACCAGGCCTCGGCTCTTAGGGAGTGGATTATGTACCACGCTTGGCTTGGAGTTGAGAAATGGTTTATATATGATAACAACAGTGATGATGGGATTGAGCAGGTTGTTCAAGAGCTTGATGTTCAGGGATTCAATGTGAGTAGGCTAGCTTGGCCGTGGATTAAGACCCAGGAAGCCGGTTTTTCGCACTGCGCGTTGAGGGCAAGGGAGGAGTGCAATTGGGTGGGGTTTTTCGATGTTGATGAGTTCTTCTATTTGCCTCGCGCGTTTCATCACTACAGAGGACCGGGTTCTCCTGGTCAGAATGCTCTTCGGGACCTGGTCGCGAATTTCTCGTCGTCGTCGAGTATTGGAGAGATCAGAACGGATTGCTACAGCTTCGGGCCGTCTGGGTTGAGCTCAACCCCACCAAGAGGGGTGACTGTAGGGTACACTTGCCGGTTGAAAAGCCCCGAACGACACAAATCCATTGTGCGCCCGGATATGTTGGATGCTACCCTCCTCAACGTGGTGCACCACTTTGAGCTCAGGGAGGGAGTTAAGTACCTGAATGTGCCGGAAAACACTGCTGTGGTAAACCACTATAAGTACCAAGTGTGGGAGAGCTTTAGTGCCAAGTTTTACCGGAGGGTTTCTACTTATGTGGCTGACTGGCAGGAGGACCAAAATAAAGGATCAAAGGATAGAGCACCTGGATTAGGAACTGAGGCCATTGAACCACCCAATTGGCGGCTGCAGTTCTGTTCAGTGTGGGACACCGGCTTGAGCGACTTTGTATTGGCATACCTTGCTGATCCTGCAACTGGGTCATTGCCATGGGAGGAGAGGTCTCGCATGTGACAAGTGACAAATTCAAAGCAGGGTGCTTCCAGCTAGGTACATGTAAAACAGAGCAGTCACACAAGTAGCCATTCTTTTGAATTTTAAGTTTTTTTTTTTTTTTTTCCTTTTGTATTTAAATTTTTTCTCCTTATACGAATTCTATGAATTGACTACAGGATTCTTATACAGTTGTAAATCTTTTTGACGACATGAAGTGAAATTATTTCATTCTTGTTCCTATTTTCGAAGTCTATTTTATGTTAAACAGGCGATGCAAGTTTTACGGTATTCTTGCGTGCTGTGAAATAGCCTTGAATTCTAACACGTGTTCGTGCACTCATGGAATGCAAAATAAGTGAAAATATTAAAAATAGAACTGTTTATTTCAATTAGTGATCATTCAAGTTATGTGAACTAATGCTTAGGACTAATCATAAGTTCTACATGTTAAAGACTGATGCATGGATTATATAATTATAAGCATCCAGAATGTGTATCTAGGAAATCCAAAAATTAAACAAGATATTCAAGTTACAATTTTGCAGAGAGTATGACCAAGATACTACTTTTTAGATCTCACAAGCTGCAAACACGACGTACACACGATGCTTGAAAATGCAGATATAATCTATGCGTCGGACCTATGTAGTAACCATGCAACTGAAACCAGAAATTTGTATAACACGACAAAACGCACATGTTTATATATACGGGATAAGTTAAAGTTACATGCAGTTTACAAAATTTGTTGAGTCTAAGTTCCATATGAACTAGAAACAAGTATCAATAACATTTTCTCCTCTTTCATATGCAATAAAATATCTAGACACGTTACAAAACAAACAAACTGCGTTTTTCACAAAATTGATTGTTTTTGTTATAATAAGTAGTCGAACCGCATATAAGCCAAAAAAAAAAAAAAAAAAAAAAATCCATCTCGCTTAAGGTTAACCGCTGTAAAACTCGTACTATATTTGCAAACTTACGGTACATTATTTTCAAACGCGATCTAGCATGGCAAATGGTAGATTATCCAAATATTTTGCCAGAGTAGCATCCAGCTTCTCTCCAATCAATGATATCCAAGCCTGTAACCATTTGAATAATAACATTAAAAAAAAAAAGTACAGAGAAAAAACTACATTAAAAAAAAAGTAGACAAACGGACAAACAATGCCTGTCACAAATTGTTTGATTATGTCAACAAACTTAAATGATTGATTAGCTGACAGCAAAAATGACTATTTTGTTCCTGAGAATACGAGCCTAGTGGTATGTCGTATATACTATCACATGTCTTAAAGCGCGAGACCAATAAGTTTCTTGTGTACGTAGGGCTGGGAAATAATAGAAGTAGAAGAACTGGTAGGCCTGCCATATCAACTTTAATAAATAGCCGCCAGTCCTTATTTTCAGCAAAGTTGTAAACATATGCTAGAAATAAGAACCACAAGTTTTCAACATAAGAAAGCATGAGCTACTCTTGTTTCACATTCAGAAAGCTAGAAATCCAGACGCCGATGATATGATATGATTAATTACTTGGGAAATTTTATAAAGCATTTGACAATGATACAGATCTGACTATGATGCATTAGTCCCATAAAAATGCAGATGATAGCCAGATATTACCAATGTAAATAAATTTTCAAAGCCAGTCATTACAAGTTAAATTTTCAACGCCAAAGGAAGCACCTGATCAGAGGTTGTGAAACCCCTAATTGTGTCGCCACCAATTACTGCAATTCCTTTTTCTCCAAGTGGCTGCAGAATGGCTGCCTGACAAGGGCGGAATCATGTAAAAGAGTCTTTAGAAACTTTGTTGATGAAATCTTGAAATTGCATTTGGCAGAAATTTGAGGAAGAGATATTATTTGTGATCAGATTCAGTTGTAAGTTTCCGCTCATGAATATATAGTTGAAAAACATAGTCAAATCCGGATAATATTGCTTCATTTTCTGCTTGGCTGTGGAATATTATCATTGAGAACAAAATACCTACAGGGAAAAAAAAAAGAGTCTGTGAGATGATCCTCCTATATGAAACCGATAAAAGCCTTATCACCACAGTAAATATTTGAAACCCAATCCGTGTTGGATGTATAGATGATCATAAACTCATTATGCATTGTTTGTGGAGGGAGGAGGAAAAATGTGGTCATTTTAAATTCCGTAGCAGAGCAGGTCATTTATAATGGCATGAAATAGCAGCATTACGTGTGTAACTGCAATACATGATAATTCTGTGACAATGGGTTATGCAATATCATTTCATTGCTTTTGATGTTTTTACCACCTTTCTGTTCAATGGAAGAACCGAAGACTGATATAAACTATGAAATTACATATTTAAACATTTCATTTGCCGGGAAAATGTAGAATAGAGTTCTTCTCCTTTGACGATACAAAAATGTGAAACAGCATTATCCATTTTTATGTAAATAAACTGCATCATTCATTTTCTCTTTTGTTTGGATGAATGCATAACAAAATAACGCAAGACTCATATTTCAACTTTCTATGGTACAGCTAACAACATGTTTAACCTTACGCAGGAAAAAGTTATTGTTGAAACATCTTTGGCCAAATAACTTCGAGAATAGGTATATTATCAACCTATGAATGAATAAACAAAATGCATACATCAACCAGGTAAATTGATTAAGAAGAAGGTCTATTAGTAAGTCAATTATGCAGTAGTTCAATGCAAAAGTACCTGTGTATTTGACGGCAGAAATGGCAGCTCAGACTTTCCAGGATAAAGAGATAGGTTGGCCAAGTAGCTCTCTGCAAGAATAAATTACAATATTTCGTCTTAACATCAATAAAAAATTTGAACACAAATTAAAACGCCAAGAGACAATAAGCCTCACCAAGTAAATCACTTACGAGCTCCTGATTTCATGACACCATGATAAAGTGATCCTTGCACCAATTTACTAGCATCCACAGAAGCAGGCTTTCTATCGCTTTTCAAGGATTCGGCTGCGAAACCCAGCTGAATAATACAACTGCTATTATAAACAATAACAAGAGACCTGCAACATGTCACGTCGGAGAGAGACTGCCAAAACCTGAGAATTGGCAACCAAAGCAACTATGAACTATTGAAGTGACAATATAAATAAAGCAATAACCTGCTAAACTGATACAAACAGGTTTTCCCCGGTAAGGAAACCCCAGAGAAATTATCACATTTACTTTCCCTACAGAGGTTTTCACAGCACGACTCATGGAGAATAGAGATATTCCCTACAGAGGTTTTCACAGCACTACTCATGTAGAATAGAGATAGAAGAATAGAACTAAGGAGAGAGATAGAACAACTAGAAGTAGAAATGGAACCAAAGAGGAAAAGATAGGGGATTCTAAAGAGAGAACGATAACTCAAAAGTGGGAAAACCAATAATCTCCATATTCATTTATTAACCATTCTCGCAATTGAAATTAAAAACTACCATTTTTATAGAAAAATCAATAACAAAATAGAAAACTAAACCAAAAAGAAGAAGAAAAAAGGAAACTTTATGATGGGAAACTACCCTATACATAAATCCCTATTAAATAAAATATTAAACTAAATGTAACTAATATATTGATATCCATCAACTACATTTACAAACTCCTACCATATATAATGGTCCTGCCACTGTTTACATAATGTTTATGGATTTTGGGTTGCTAGCTTTAAATATACTCTTGAAATTTAATCACCATTTGACATTTGCAAGCAACTAAAACCCCAATCCTGAAAGCGACTACTGTGGTTGAGCTTGGTAATCATTATTTTGTCAACATTAAGCAAAAGACTTTAGAAAGCAACTGCTTATCTTACCAGAGTAACTCGGAAACTACGGGGTTTGGAAGATCAGGATTAACTATTTGGCATTCGATCCCTTCAGGGTCTACCTGAAATCAAATATAATAGACGTTTGGTAAGGAGATTCATACCGTAATTTGAATCATAGTTTATAGTTCGCTACTAAAAATACACGTAAATTAAAAATAGTTATAATCTCGTGATTCTAATCCATGAACCGAACGTATCCTCACAACAAATATTATATAATTAAGAAACGAAAAAATAAACTACTAAATTAAGCTAATAAATAATCAGAAATACTATCCACTCACAATGGAAATAGTTTTCGGTCTGATAGACAGCCATACCAGACCGGCTAGAATATTGGTAACAGCCAATCCAAGGGTCAAGAGATCAGCTCTCGACTGCGAACTTCACACACAACGCACATCGAAGCTCGAAAACGTCAATTTCCAAAACCCGATACATTCTTGACAGAAATCTCAACTAGAAACAAAGCGATTCAAAGTAAAGAAGTCTGTAAGAGAAATCGAGAATTCCTTACCTGCTGGCATCGGCGACCGGAGCAATGCCGGAGAGCGTGCGATTGAAGAGAACGGCCAAGAGCGAGACGCCTCCGACGTATATCGGTAGGCTCCGAACTAGGTCGTCGTTCTTCGAGACCCAATCGGCGACCCAGTCCTTCGTCGGCTTTGGTCCTCTGTAACGTTTCTCTGTAGAAGAAGAAGAAGAAGCCCTAACGATGTGAGGAAGAGCGAGGTCGAAGCGACGAGGGAGAGTGCGTTTGGGTGCCCATGGAAGAGGACTAGTCCGGAGAAAGCTTCTTCCCGCTTCCATTGAAATTTGGTTGGAAAATATTTGAACTCTTTTTTTCTTATTATTATTATTATTAAAAAATTTGAACTCTTTGAGCTCTACTAGAATTGGATTGGAGTTTGGAGGGGAGTGGTGCTTGATATCAGAAAGTTAGCTTGAAAGTGAGTGGTAGTGATTGTGTGCGGTCGGGAGTATATTATGAGGAAGTGTCAGCATGTTTTTGAGGATTGGATTTTGATAGTTTGGGTTTGTTTGTTTTTTTTTTTTTTTTTTTTTTTTTTTTTTTTTTGGCTATTCAGTTTGGGTTTTGTGGTTTATTGTTTGGTGCATTGTTTTTGTGGTTCGAGATTCTTTTTATTGTTTTTTTTAATAGTTTTCATGCACTAATAAAGGAATGTTGAATTCGTCATTTGTTTGTAGTTGTGTGCCTTTATTTTATGCTTGGGGCTGTTATTAACAAGTGATGTGTGGTTTCTGCACTCTTCAATGTAAGCTACGGTTGTAGTTTACTATAGACCCGTTTAGTTCGCTGATTTGAGTTTTTAATTCGAGTTGAGATGTAATGTTATGTGAGAACTTTTTACTGTAACAAAAAAGTTAGATGTGACTGTTTATGAGAGCTTTTTACTGTAGTAAAACTCAAATTTTAAATTCGAATCGACGAAATAAACAGGGCTTAGATTTTCTTTTTTACGATTTAGAGTCCGTTTAGTTTATCAATTATAACAATGAGATTAGAACAATTTTTTATTTACGTGTATTTTTTATGAGAAAAAATAATATAACGAATCATGAATCATAATTTAAATCAGAGAACGAATTTTCTAACTAAACGGACTCTTATCATGTAGCCTATGTGTCGTAGGTTACTCAAAGTCACACATTTTTCCATTGATTAGATGTCTAGATTCAGAACTTGGTACACATTTCCTCGTTGAGCATTTTATATAAATATAATAGTGAAACCAGTTTGATCAGGATTGATTCCTCGTATGTCTTGAGGTCATTTGTGTCAGTTTAATGATTGTAAATCTTTGAGTTTTGGAATGAAATATCCAATAGAAAAAAAAGATGATAGCCAATGTGTGTAAGAAAGTACCGACTTTTAAAATTTTTTATGCTCTCTTATCAAAAGTTGGACATTTGTATTTTCTATAGTTTTGCATAGCTCGTGAAGGAAGGCCCAAAAAAAAAAACAGCAAAAAAAAAAAAAAAAAAAAAAAAAAAAAAAAAAAAAAAAGAGAAAATTGTAAAATTTATCTTCAAGACTCAAGAGTGTATGAATTTTAAGTTTTTATTTTTTATTATTGATAAATATTTTTTTATTAGTGTAATTATTTGACTAAAAAAGTTATGAATTAAGAATAAAGAATAAAAATCTTAACTCATACACTTTTAAGAAATATTTATTAAGATTACCTGTAAAAATTCATCTGGGCTTATGGTATGGTTGGATGGAAAGTTCTAGTTCTACAAGCCCAAGCTAAACTTTAATTAAAGGAAAATAGTATAAAATAGGCTAGTATGAAAAACTTAAGAAAGTATATAGGTCAATTTTTAGTTATAGAAATTAATAGGCCATAAATTGTTAAGTTATGGTTCATAACCAGATAAGTTATGGATTAACTTGTCAAGTTATGGTTCATAGCCAGACAAGTTATGATTCATAACCAGACAAGTTATGGACGAAAACAGTAATTTGGCATATTTATTAACTTATGTAAACTATTAGCGTATTAATTTTAATTTATCTCAAGTCTTAGCATATTTTTCTCTTTATCTCTTAATTAAAATTGGACTCACCTCTGTTCTGGTTCAGTCTTTCCCCCTCCTCTCCATGGCAATATTGAAAACTAATCTAGCCGAGTCGTTTTATTAAAGGAAAAGTGATTAGGATTTTGTTTATTTTCTTCTTTTCTTTCCATATACGATTGAATATACTATTTTAGTGTTCTTAGTATATACGTACTTATCCGTTTAAAATAAAATATACGTACGTATGCCCTTAACGTATGAGAAAACAAAACTTTTAATTTTTTTCAAAAATTATACACGGACAACTTAATGTATGAATGAATCAGAGTAAAAAAACTTTTTATTCGCAAATTTTGAGAAAGTTGACTTCTCCAAAAATATGGAGACAGCATTAAGCAAGGGACAATGGTGTCACCCACAATTGTAAATGCTAAAATACATTTTAAATTCATTGTCTTCTAATTTCTTCCAAAAGGGCCAGCCATAAATACAGGAGGTACCAGATACTTGCTTTTTCTTTTCCTTTTTCTCTTTTAGAAAGAAAATAGATATTCTTGCTTTTTCTGCCACTATGGTTGGTTGATATTGTAATTGTGCCTCACATTGAATATATCTCATGCGAAAATATCAAAAAAAAAAAAAAGTTGGGGAAAAATCTTCATGGCACGTGAATAGTGAAATTAAATGACATATTATTATTATTATTGTTGTTGTTTTTTTGGCAAGGAAAAAATGAAATAAGGGAAGAGCATATTTTATAAAGTAAAGTGGCTTATAAAAGGTCAGTCAAATCTCGTTTAGTTCGTTGATTCGAATTTTTAATTTGAGTTAAGATGTGACTTTATGTGAGCGTTTTTTATTATAACAAAAAAGTTAAATGTGACTGTTTCTGATAGCCTTTTACTGTAAAAAAAAAAAAAACTCGAATTCTAAACTCAAACTGGTGAAATGAACGGTAAACTCAAACTGGTAAAATAAACGAGAGACATCACAGAATCTCCTCTGTTTCTCCTGTCAATATCTGTTGGGGATAACCTTATCTCAGCTGCAATGCATTAATTTCCCCTCATCCACCTGAAGAAAAGAAAAGTCTCTTGGGGAATCTGAATTTTGGGCAGTATTAACGATGCTTAATTCGAGGACTGCCCTAGTGAATCAATGCAACTTGATACTTGAAAGTGAAAATTTTGATTTGTAGTCTCAGCTTTGCGATATTGAACTAACCAGCAAAACGCATTACAGTTAAAAAAAAAAAAAAAAACAAAACAAAATAGTACACCAATTGTAGTACAATTGAATGATTTGAATTGCTAGTACAAAATCTCAAACGGAAAATGATCGATTAGGAAAAAAAAAAGAAAAGAAAAGAAAAAAAGGCAAATAGTTATCCTTTTTAAATTTGATATGAAAAATAACAACATGGTAAAGCTATATCAAAGGTTAGGTAACATGGCATTAAAGAGCAATATTTTATAAACAACTTGACTTAACATTGACGATAGTTTTTAACGCGAAATGAAAATGTTATAATATTTGTTACATTAATACTACTATTTAAATAAGAGAAATATTAACATCACTTATTATGTCGCTCTTGTTGTTACTATTTTCATTCACTATTTGACATGCGGATTTCAATGGAGAGAGTGACAAGTAGAAAATGATATACTATATCTTTTATTTAAATAATAATATATTATATTAGTGGAGTTCGCGTGTCAAATAATGAATGAATATAATGACAAAAAAAATAATAGAAAGAGTCGTGCTAGTATTTTTCGTCTAAACAATGATAAGAAAAAAAAGAAAATTTAAGACCTTAAAAATGGGCGTAATGTATGTAGGTGCATTAGCCTATATTTTGGAAGTTTTGGATTCTTAACAGGTCACAGACTCACAATCAAGAGGTTGGCCCCGGCTAAAATTGCGTGCTACTGCTCTAAGCTTCTTTAGCATTTTGAATGCGCGATCCCTATGAGGATTGACGATAAAGAGAGGAATATGATGGATGGATATGCTTCCAATTCAATACTTGTTTTGGCTTATTTAAGATTTTCCAAAAAACAAATGGGTACTCAAATCAACAAGTGCATTTTAGTTTAAGCTTTTTTTTTTTTTTTTTTTTTTCTTCCAAAGATGCCACATGATTTATGAACTGTTTTTATTTTTCATATTAACCAATCAGTTATGAAATTATTACAAAATTGAGGCCTCGTTCATTTCATCGATTCGGGTTTTGTTACAATAAAAATCTCTCAGATACAGTCACATTTAATTTTTTTACTACAATAAAAAATTCTCATATAAAGTCACATTTTAACTCGAATCAGCGAACTAAACGGACTCTGTGATTGAAGTGGGATAAGACTCAGGAATCCAACCAAATCCCCAATGTTGCGTGATTAGGAAATCAGTGTCTTGCAAATTGCGTTGAAAGGCATCTATAATTATGCTCAATCATTTATGTTCGTCAATCCAAAAACAGATTGTTTGAGTCGGTGATAGTAACTTTTATCAAACACTCTCTCTTCTTCCTTTTTCTTGAAGAAAAACAATTGATTTTTTTATTTTTTTTATTCTGTTTATTTTGTTCCTAAAGAAACACCAATTGATTGAATGGCCTACTTACTATTGTTTCATTTTAAAGTCGTCAAATTATCCAAAACGTGGACTTTAAATAAACCTTATATTTTGTTGTGACATTGACTCCCTTCACCATTCACAAGATTATCACCGTGAATGGATGACTATTCCACACAACTACTGCTGATTAAATTTGTAAAATTTGCTTGTCAAGGTTAATAATCCAAGAAAATATGTATATATATATATATATATCTCGATTAAGTGCACTCCTTGTCTTGCGAATAATAAAGTAAATAATATTGTGAAATTATCTTTCTAACTAACGGTCAACCATGGCCGATGGTGATGACGATCATTAGGTGACCACTTTCTTTTTTTATTTATTTTTTAATGTAATAATTTATGCACGTTTCTCATGTCTTTATTTAATAGTGTAATCAGGTAAATTTTTCAATAGCGTGAATCGGTAATTTTAAGGTCTGTTTAGTTTTTTGATTTGAATTAAGATGTAATTTTCATGTGAGAGCTTTTTACTGTAGTAAAAAAATTAGATGTGACGTGACTGTTTCTGATAAATTTTTACTATAACAAAACTCGAATTGGTAAAATGAATGGGATCTTAGTTAATTTTGAATCTCAATCTTGTTTTGATTTTGACTACTGTCCAATGTTATACAATTATTGTTTCGAAGCTTGT